CCCCTCCCTTTGATGCTGATAATCCTGCATAATGCACGGGCATAATATTAATTTGAAACCCCCCCGCCCACCTCCTACGCATTTTCCATATGCTAAATTCCTCTTGATATGCAAATTATTTTGTTAAGGTGCTCTTCTTCCCACCTCCCCCCTCCAACCCAGCTTAAATATACGCTCCAAGCTTGGTGGTGTTTCATACTTCACCTGAGGACGGCTGCTTGCGTTGTGGGCGAAACGTCGTGAGAATTGTTTTATTATGTTTTTATTATTTTATTATTTTCCTTCTACGTGACTTTATCGAAAGAACCAAGAAGACAGTTCCAGGTAGTCAACAATAAATCATTAATAGCGAATCGTGGCCTCGTGTGATCTCGTTGAGCAGTGTGAACGCGTGTAGTGCTGCTTATACAGCGGCTCGCCTCGTGGGAGCGCTGCGTAGAGCGGCGCACGAGTGGGTGTCGCGTGTGTGCAGTGTGTGCGCTCGTAGTGTGGGGGAAGGGGTCGGTGCGTCCGCAGGTACCCGCTCCGTCTATCGCCGCAGGGACTCGCGCGGTGTGAGGGCAGCGTCATTCGCCCTCCGACCCCTGACCCCCGTTTAGAGCGCGTGATCCGTGGAGAGACAACGCAGCATGTACAGGTGAACGAGAGCGTGCGGCGAGCTATGCCTCTCACACGAGCTCGCGGAGGGACGGACCAGGGAGGGGAGCCGTCGGGCAATGAGCCCAGCGACGGCAGCAGCTGCTCGCAGAGCAGCGAGGGGTCGACGAACGGCAGAACCCCTGCCATAGGTACGGAGCAGGGAGGGACTTCGGGGACCAGCGGCCCCAACAACTGTATAGTATAGTGTATAGTAGTGTAGTAAATATAAGTGTTTAGAGTAGTGTATAGTAGTGTAAAGTGTATATTACTATAGTGTAGTATATAGTAGTGTAGTGGATACCAGTGTAGTGTATAGTAGCGTACTGTATAGTACAGTGTAGTATATATGTGTATAGTGTAGTATATTGAAGTGTATAGTGTATTGTATAGTGGAGTGTATAGTAGTGTAGTGTAGTATATATAAGTGTATAGTAGTGTATTGTATAGCTTTGTAGTGTATAGTATAGTGTATTGTATAGTAGTGTACTGTATAGTATAGAGATATAAGTGTTTAGTGTAGTATACAGTAGTGGAGTGTATAGTAGTGTAGTGTACATTACTATAGTGTATAGCAGTGTATAGTAGTGTATGCCAGTGTAGTGTATTGTATCGTGCAGTGTATAGTAGCGAGGTAGTTAACATTTCCCAGCCACCGTGATGATTATGGTGTAACCCACGACCTCCTGTACACCAGGCGAGGTAGTTAACATCTCAATTACCAAGGCGTCAACACCAACGAAGGCCCAGACGACCACCAAACCTCAGGGTCGTTGAAATAGCAGCAGCAGAACTCATCCGCAAGTTGTGGAGACCTGCAGAGACCCACACAGCGAGTTGGCACAGCAGGGGCCCACAATGTGGTGGTAGCATCAGCCACTGTCTCAGTCAGTTGACATGTAACACCTGCTGGGTCTGCCCCGTGACCTCCTCCTGCCACGTGGTAGCCTCAAAGTGCACATGGCCTGGCACAAGCGTCGTGGTGACGTCACCGCCACTTAGTGGCGAATGGCGGTTGTTGTTGTGTGTGTGAGTGTTAAACTGTGAGTGTGTGTACACGTGTTGTACCGTAGCAAGGCTCTGCAGGTCACCTTAGATGCACCCAAGCTCACGGGCCCACAGGGGGCAGCAGAGTTCCTATGACCACTGTTTCATTGCTTTAATGGCTTTATTTTGGTGATTTTTGAAAAGTTTTTCGGTTTGGCCATGTTTGTTTGTTGTAGTACAGAGTTAGACTGATGGCCTTAATCTAAGTTGTCTTGTGGTTGTTGTTGTTGTTTGACTTGCATCCCACTGGGATTTTTGCACACAGCATTGGTGTATGGTGCTTTTTCTGCAATATTTTGCTGTCTTTTCTTGGATTTTCTGTTTGCACTTAGTCACATAGTCACTTTAAGATGTTTTCTTGTTCATGTTTTTGTTTTTTTGTTTGTTGCGGTTGCACCCGATTCAAGAGCCGAATGGCTCACAGGGCTATACCTAATACATGAAAACTTGAAACTTGAGGCGTGTGGGGGTTGACCGAAGGTGACCACCCCCCCCCGCCTCTTACACTGGTCAACGTGTGTCCACACTAGGACCTTCAAGTTCATGTTCATGTATTAGGTGTGGCCCTGTGAGCCATTTGGCTCTTGAATCGGGTGCAACCTCAACAAACAAAAAACAAAAACATGAACAAAAACATCTTAAAGTGAATATGTGACTGAGTGCAAACAGAAAATCCAAGAAAAGACAGCAAAATATTGCAGAAAAAGCACCGTTACACCAACGCTGTGTGCAAAAATCCCAGTGGGATGCAATTCAAACAACAACAACAACCACAAGACAACTTAGATTAAGGCCATCAGTCTAACTCTGTACTACAACAAACAAACATGGCCAAACCAAAAAACTTTTCGAAAATCACCAAAATCAAGCCATAAAAGCAATGAAACAGTGATCATAGGAACTGTGACCGAATTTTCACAATAAACGACGTAAACAACATGTACCACCAGAACCCTGCAGCCATAGCTGGCTGCATGAGTCACTCCACAACAGCAGGAGCATCAGTCGGAGTATCAACATTTTTCAATGCACCTTTAAGATCAGCGCACTAAATCAAAACACAGATCATACTTCATGTAAGCTGACGTGCGCAGCGATCGCTGTCGTGGTGGAGTTGATCGTATTTTACTGGGATAATCCCTTTTGACTCCACACCAAGCTGTCTTTTTGTGCCATGTATAAGGTGCTACATTCGTGAACGAATGCAATGAAAATCAGGTTGATTCACGAGAACAGCATGTTCTTTTTCTGCCATAACAGAGAAAGAATGTATATATAACGTGACATTTTGGCAGACTGGCCCAACTTTATTTATGCCCATAGGATAATGAAAGATAATGCATAAGAATAGGGTAAATCTATTCTTATATTTTCACACACACTCACACAGACCCACAGACTCACAGAGACCCACAGACTCACAGAGACCCAGGTCACGTGACTGACCCCTTCGCCCCGCCCCCTTTCATCTTCTCTCCCCCGAGCCCCGCCCCCTGGCCACGCCTCCTGCGTCACGTGTCCACGGGCCCTGACATCCGGGGCCCTGACATCCGGGGCCCTGACATCCACATCCGGGCCTCGCCTGAGCCAACACGTGCGCAGCCTGGGCCCTTCTTCCCGCCACTTCTCCGTCGACTGCCTGCAGAGGAGACCTCGGCAAGAGAAGGCAATTGACCCCCTTTTATTAGCCGGGTCAAAGGGTAAAGGTGTCTGTGTGCCGAGGGGTGAGGTCAAAGGTCGGGTAAAGGTCAGCTTGTTTTGACCTTGCCTTGCCTACTGGCCATGTGCTAATCCTAAGAGACGCTGCTCAACAATGACAGGATTCTGTGAGGTTTGCGTTGCGTTTGTTATCGTGTAGAGGGTGAACGCCACAGGTAGCCAGGGCTCGCCTTGTTCAAACCCCCTTTTAGTCTGTACCCAACTCTCACGTGAAGAGAATCTGTGCTAGAAACCATGACATTGTTACGTGTAATGCGGCATTTCTTCCTAAATTGCAAGCCGCGTTAATTACACTGGTCAACAACAACAAAAACATGTTTTTCTGGCCTGGACTGTTGCAGCTGTTCTAGGCTAATTTCAGGGTGCCGATTCTAAATCTGATCTCAGATTTGCTCTATCACGTCTATTTTTTATGCTATCGGCATACCCCATTTTCATTGATTTTACCCGAAATTAACTCTGTCACTTATGATTGCAAGTTGTTGCGAGTCAGTGACTGCTTTAGTGTTAAAATACGGTGCTGTATTTTTAGGAGAGTGTGCATATAATATCATTTTATGTAGATATCCACATTTATTTAATATTTTTATTCTGCCGTTTTTATTGAAAATGCAATATTTGATAATATCTCAAAAACCTGATGTGATGGACAAAAACTGATGCCAGATTTGGAATCATCAGCACCCCAAAATGACCTTAACACCGTTGGAATACCTTATGCCACAAAAAGTGTGTTGACCAGTGTTATGTATGCAATGTTAGTGTGCTGATGTCGACGTAGCCTTTGACCAGATCACTCACAATGCACGCAGCCTTTTCCGATTTTGTAAGCTAAGCAGGGTTTGTGTCAGAAGTGCTTTGGATGGGTTGACCACCACCACCACCACGTGCAGTATAAAGGTGCTGTGGGCGTTGTAGACAGCAGTTGGCAGTGCAGAAACCCCCATTGGTGTACTGCACTCCCCACCACCACCTCCACCACAAACCCCACTGACCAGCGTGGTGAAGTATAGTCAAATATCGCTCTTGACCCGACCCACAAGACGTGTGCGGAGGTCATCATCCAGCAGTGGAATTATTCAAGCGGACTGTACATGTATGATGCGAGAGTTCCTATACATGTACACGCGTGTGCGTACACATGTATCGGCAGTGTGACAAGATGACATCACCTCTTTTCACGACCCTGAGTCACATTCCCCTGGGGTCATTAAATAGGGCAATCAGTCACGGACGCCAGTGCAGATAATAAGATGGTGCCATTGTCTATGATCATGACGCTCAGAGGAGGAACGCTATCGAGATGTAATTGTATAACAACAGCTCTTTAGTAGTAGGTTTTTACCCTTTAAACTGGTACAAAAACTGACACCTTTATACAAGGCATCATGTTTGCAATAACCACAACACAAGCAGTCAAAATGCAAACAAAAAGAAACAACTCTGATGATGATAATGATATGCACTGTCCTTGATGTTGATTGGTCCACACCCCAGACAGCTTTTCTTAGAGCCTAGTCTCGATTGGTGTTGGTTTCCTTTAATAATCTTTGCTTTGCAGGTGTGCTTGGACGTGGGAAACACAACGCGAGAACGAGATGGACGTCAGCTGCCACCACAACGAGACGATCGCATTCTTCTACCGCAACAGCAACAAGCCGCTCTACGACGAGTGGTCCTTCACCAGCACGCTGGTCATGGTGCTCGGCCTGACCTTGTGCCTCGGCATCATTCTGGCCAACGCCCTCGTCATGTTCGCCGTGTACATCAACAAGACACTCCACCACCCCGTCTACTTTCTCATGGCCAACCTGGCCGCGGCGGATTTCTTTGCCGGAGTGGCGTACATCTACCTGGTTGTCAACACGGGGCCCAACACTCGCAAGCTGTCGCTGGAGACCTGGATGCTGCGCCAGGGGCTGATCAACACGAGCCTCACCGCCTCCGTCGCCAGCCTCCTGGTCATCGCCATCGAGCGCCACGTCGCGCTGTTCCGGATGCAGCGGATGAGCGAGCGGCGCGTCGTGACGGTCGTCGCGATCATCTGGCTCGTGGCCATCATCGCCGGCGCCATGCCCAGCATGGGCTGGAACTGCGTCTGCGACGTCGGCACGTGCTCCACCATGGCGCCGCTGTACAGCGCCAGCTACGTCGCCTTCTGGGCCGGCTACAACCTCTCCATGTTCCTCATCATGGCGGGGCTCTACGGCCACATCTTCGTGAACGTGTGGAGGGACAGGATACCCGTGCTGCAGAATAGCTCCAGGTGCTCCCGGAGGCAAGACGCCCCGTGAGCTTGCTCGTAACGGTCACCATCATGTTGGGTAAGCGTTGTGGGTCTGTCTGGGCAGAACATTCGACAACACGATTCACGATAATTGTTTTTTTACCCTTCTATCTGGCAACAAAACTGACACCTTTTTTACAAGGAGTCACGTTTGCATAGACCACAATACCTGCAGTCATAATGCAAACAAAAAACATAACTCTGATAATGTACGCACTGTCCTTGAAGTTGATTGGTCCACACCTGAGACACCTTTCCTTAGAGCCTAGTCTCACATGGTGTTGGACCAGATGACGCCAAAAGGCGCACAACTGTTTTTTTGTTTGCATTACGACTGCAGGTATTGTGGTCTATGCAAACATGACTCCTCGTAAAAAAAGGTGTCAGTTTTGTTGCCAGATAAAAGGGTAAAAAAAAAGCAATTATCAAGGCTGGTCTTGTTCCACGCGTCGCTGCCAAAAATGGCTCGTGCCGTCTCTCCCAGGAGCCTTTATCGTGTGCTGGACGCCGGGCCTGGTGATTCTGCTGCTGGATTCCTTCTGCTCGGACTGCAACGTCCTGGCCTTCGAGAAGTACTTCTTGCTCATAGCGGAGCTCAACTCCGCCATGAACCCCATCATCTACTCGTTTCGGGACACGGAGATGATCGCCACTTTCAAGCGCATCCTGAGCTGCCGAAAGGCGGGATGCGTCGCAGCGAGCGGCTCCGAAAAATCAATTTCCACGTCGAATCCCAACCTGGTTACGGAGATCGGTCACGTGACCACCGCGAGTGCGATGAAGATGAATCAGATTGTCATCTAATATCTAATTGGGCTAACCATGCATGTTTTGATAATTGTTCTTTTACCCTTCTATCTGGCAACAAAACTGACACCTTTTTTTTACAAGGAGTCATGTTTGCATAGACCACAATACCTGCAGTCATAATACAAACAAAAGAGTACACGAGCTTGGAGCATGTATATAAGCTGGGTGCCTTGACAAAGGAATTTGCATATCAAGAGGAATTTAGCATATTTATGGGAAATGCAGGAATGTGATTAGTACTACTTATGCCTGTGCATTATGCAGGATTAGCAGCATCAAAGGGAGAGAATATGGGAAATGCAGGTATGTGATTAGTACTACTTATGCCTGTGCATTATGCAGGATTAGCAGCATCAAAGGGAGAGGATATGGGAAATGCAGGTATGTGAATAGTACTAATTCAGCATCAAAGGGACAGACCTGGTTTTCACCTGAGGACGGCTGCTTGCGTTGTGGCCGAAACGTCGTGAGAATTATTTTATTATGTTTTATTTTTATTATTTTATTATTTCCCTTCTACGTGATTTTACCGAAAGAACCAAGAAGATGAATCCCTGCAGTCACGAAAGCTTTAAATCGAAAAATAAAACAAACAAAAACATAACTCTGATAATGTATGCACTGTCCTTGAAGTAGATTGGTCCACATCTGAGACAGCTTTCCTTAGAGCCTAGTCTCACATGGGTGTGGACCAATCAACTTCAAGGACTGCACACATTATCAGAGTTGTGTTTTTTGTTTGCATTATGACTGCAGGTATTGCGGTCTATGCAAACATGACTCCTTGTAAAAAAGGTGTCAGTTTTGTTGCCAGATAGAAGGGTAAAAAACCAATTATATTTTTTACTGGCAAATGAGGTTCCAGTGGTGATGCATGTTTTACTCGGAAGCTTGTTGTTTCAAAGATATGTTTTACACAAGTCACATTTAACTTGGTGTTTCTTGAATAGGGTTTTACTGGAGGATGCGTTGTTTTTCGTTGGTTCTCTTCCTGTTCAAATGACGGCTGCCCCCCAGCACACACGAACTCGTGTTCACGTGGCCCCCCTTGCGAGCGTCCGTGTTAACGTGGCTGTGTGTGTGTGTGTCCTTCAGGGACATTGTAAACAAAAATCTCGTATTTTGAAAAGCGTCGCTCAATATTTCTGTATTTATTTTTCTTTCTTTTTTATTTATTTTGGGGGCCTTTAAACGCTTGTTCAGAATTTAGTTCCGAGCCCATTTTGCGTTGCGTTTTCTTTTGAGCAAGGCAATCGTCTTGTGTGAGAATACTGCCTCCGTTGTGAGAGAAGTCGGTTGTTTTGTGGTGATTATTGTGTAATTATTGCGGCAGTTGCTTTTAGAAAACCGGTGGTTTATTTTTGTCTACAAACAAGATGCTGGACCAGCAGGCAGGGTTGATTGGAAATGACCGCTCGTTTTTCCATCTTTGTTCTCACTTCACATTGGCAGCAATCACAAAGGCTCCGTGAACGTTGTTAAGCTACGAGCATTGTGTAACCTTCACGTGGTTCTCGTGACGAAATGGCAAAATGTAACTTTCTTGCACTGTACAAATGTTGGGAGATGTGGGTTTCGTCGTAAAGAGAGTTACAGCACCGTTATTTTGCCGTTAACATTCACTTTTAATCTTTAACGACGGCCACATTTCCACAGTGCAGTGATCGTACTGAGATGTGGGCGCGGTCCCGCCAGTCATCGATGTATCCACACAGCGCAGATTCTACTGGCTGCCAGGAAGGCCACAATGACATTACAATGTGATACTGGTAGGAACCACCTGGTTCCACCAGCCCACAGGGGATTATTGTGTCTGTCCGTCCGTCGTGCATCCAAAAATGGGAGGGGTGGGGCTGGGTTGAGAGGGGAGGGTGGGGAGGGGCTAGGTGGGGTGGGGCTGGTGGGAGGGGCTGGGTGGTTAGGGGCTGGATGGGGGGTGGGAGGGGTGGGGCTGGGTGGAGAGGGGAGGGTGGGTAGGGGCTGGGTGGGGAGGGGCTGGGTGGGTAGGGGCTTGATGGGGGGTGGGTGGGAGGGGTGGGAGGGGTGGGGAGGGGCTGGTCACCCCGTGGTGCCCTTATAAAACTCAACGTTTAACCTACTCACGCCGGCTTGTGCCCGCCCTCACAGTCGGGCATATTTGCGGAATACACCACGCCGCCGTTGACCCTGCAGGCCATTGACCGAGCAACCCAACGTTCCTACCAGCTCCCTCCGCAGCAGGAATGTGTTTGAGAGCAAGTCATAGTAATCGCCCACATCGAATTGTTCGTGCTGTTGAGAGCTGGGCTGCTGTGCGCTTTGGTATCGCAAGTTATAAGATTACAAGACCCCGCGATGAAAACTTTGCGGTTGGGAAATGGCAAAGGAGAGAACGGCACTCCCCACCATTACCTTGAGGGAAGTTTTAGCTGTGTTGAAATCTCGGCAAAAAAAATGTTTTAACATTATCATCAGTCTGGTTCCCAGATAATTGAGTTGGTGTTTCTGTGCGGTATGAGCGCCAACTGTTTAAAGGACTGAGTTGCAAAAAAAGTCTTCATGAATTAGTTTTTGGCAGAGCGACGTTTCTCTCTGCGATGAGATATTAAACCTGGTTACAATGTGTGTGTGTGTGTCTTCAAGAATTAGTTTTGGCAGAGCGACGTTTCTCTCTGCAATGAGATCTCATTAAACCTGGGTACAATGTGTGTGTGTGTCTTCAAGAATTAGTTTTTGGCAGAGCGGCGTTTCTCTCTGCGATAAGATATCATTAAACCTGGGTACAATGTGTGTGTGTGTCTTCAAGAATTAGTTTTTGGCAGAGCGACGTTTCTCTCTGCGATGAGATATTATTAAACCTGGTTACAATGTGTGTGTGTGTCTTCAAGAATTAGTTTTTGGCAGAGCGGCGTTTCTCTCTGCGATGAGATATTATTAAACCTGGGTACAATGTGTGTGTGTGTCTTCAAGAATTAGTTTTTGGCAGAGCGACGTTTCTCTCTGCAATGGGATATCATTAAACCTGGTTACAATGTGTGTGTGTGTCTTCAAGAATTAGTTTTTGGCAGAGCGACGTTTCTCTCTGCGATGAAATATCATTAAACCTGGGTACAATGTGTGTGTGTGTCTTCAAGAATTCGTTTTTGGCAGAGCGGCGTTTCTCTCTGCGATGAGATCTCATTAAACCTGGTACAATGTGTGTGTGTGTGTGTCTTCAAGAATGAGTTTTTGGGAGAGCGGCGTTTCTCTCTGCCATGAGATATCATTAAACCTGGGTACAATGTGTTTGTGTGTGTCTTCCAGAATTAGTTTTTGCAGAGCGACGTTTCTCTCTGCGATGAGATCTCATTAAACCTGGGTACAATGTGTGTGTGTGTGCACGCTTGTGGAGGTAATGCATACTAGAATAATAAAAAACTAGTGGCATTCATGGATAAAGTTGGTGGCAAAAGCTTCCTACTGCTACCACGTGTTCAAGTGTTTATACATTTCGTATATTTTGATGGTAAAGTTTCTTTGACGTCTGTTGCGGTTGTGCAGATGCCGAACATTAAAACATTAATAACGGATATGAATTACCGAGTCTGTGGTTTTTTCGAATGTGAGCACCTGCTGTCCAGTGTCCCGTGAATTGCACGCATGGTCATGAACCTTTGTCAGTGTAGAGATGTGTAGATAATTACCAAAATGTTGACCGATGAAGTGTTACTATAGAAATCTTGGTGAACCACAACTAAGAGTGGATGATGAAAGTTCAGTAAAACCTCGGATTGCGAGTCACTTGGTCTGCGAGTGTTTTGCAAGACGAGCAATTTTTTTAAAACAAATATTAATTTGATAAACGAGCGAGGTCTTGCTATACGAGTAGTACGTTCTGTCTGCCGAGCGTCACGTGATCACAACTGATATACGAGTGCTTTGATAAACGAGTGCTTTGGATTACAAACACGTTTCCGGAACGAATTATGCTCGCAATCCAAGGTTTTACTGTAACTCAATATGATTGACCGTGACGAAACCCACCAATGATCAAATGATGTCCACTTCGATGAGATTGTCTGATTAAAGGTAATACGATCATTGAGTAAGTTGCAATGCAGATAAATAAACATGATCAATGGTACTATTGTGGAGCTAGATTTGAAGCTTTCGTGACTGCAATGATTCATATTCTTAGGTTATTTCGGTAAAGTCACCGTGTAGGTAAAAACATTAAAAAATAAAATAAAAATCACGACGTTTCGGAGGCAACACAAGCTTCCGTCTTCAGGTGGAACCGTCACAGCCACGACAGCTGTATCAAGTAAATGAGAGATTGCAGGAGCTACCACTCCGTATATATAATGGTGGTAGCTCCTGCAATCTCTCATGTACTTGATACAGCTGTCGTGGCTGTGACGGTACCACCTGAAGACGGAAGCTTGTGTTGCCTCCGAAACGTCGTGATTTTTATTTTATTTTACTTTTTAATGTTTTTACCTACACAGTGACTTTACCGAAAAAACCTAAGAATATTGTGGAGCTATTTAAATATATATTTACTCTGCTTGACTGCCCTGATAATATTTGTGGGGGGAGGGGGCTGGGGAGTTGCATTGCCCAACTTTTAAGTAGCCCAGTGCCAAAGAGTTGAGTGCTCGAATCACCTCCACCCAGAGAATGACTCCAGAGAGAATCCAGGAAGAATAAGTATAACCCGTAAAAACAAAGTTTTTCACTATAAATCCTTTATATGCGTGGCGGCTAGAGTCCTCTCGTCCTCTGGCTTGAGATGGCTGCCACCTATGGGTCAGATGATTGTCTGCCAGTATTAAGCAATTGGTAATTAAATATTTAATTTGTTTTCCCTAAACAGTGTAAAATTTTGGAAAAAAATGTTCACGAACATTAATTGTCTCGCACAACGAGTCTGTGTGCAAAATGTCAGCTCGATTGGATCACGGGAAATGGGTTAAAAAACGACCGAAAGATTTGCACGGTCGTAAGCACGCAAGCAAGCGAACTTAATATAAAGG